TTCTAAAATTATTAGCACACCAACAATAACTTTTGTGTCCTGTTTTATACATTTGTCTTTCTCTAAAGCCCTTTTCTCTAAATATTTGACCATCTGTGAGGGTATTGCCCTCATTGTTGGTAAGTTATAATTTCTCAAAACAGTATCGTAACATAAGGATGAAAAAAACAACTTGTTTTCTGTTTTTATGTGACATGTTAACTGCCTAATGTTGTTTTTGTTTAACTCATCATAGTGTTGTGTCCTGGCATATACCCTTCTGTGGAGTTTGCCAGCCATGACAGATAAGGCTGTCTCTTACAAATCCTGACCCAATTCATATGTGTTTACTCCTGTCACTCTGTGCCTGATACAGTCTCACAGAGAAAAGGTGGAAATTAATTCCCGTGATTTATTGTGGTGAGGGGCACACGTGGCCCAGTGGCCTAAGGCGCCAGGACCTGCTGTGAAAAGTTGTCTCCCCTAGTTGTCAGGATCTGCTGATGTAGGTTGCTTTACAAAATTTGCTTTGGTTACTATACCTGATCCTTCAGCATCAACCCCTGCTTGTGGGTTTCCCAAAAGGGATAAATGTTTTTGAACCTCCAACAGTATTTATTTGTTTGTTGTCTTAACACCACACTCAGCAACATTACAGCTGTATGACGACAGCCTGTAAAAAATTGAATCTGAACCAGAGAGTCCAGTGATCTATATTGTGAGCAACGATCCATGCCTAGTAGCCAATCCTCACCACCCGATGCATTTGGTTGCCCCGATGACCAGCATAGGTTGCTGAGGACCAATTCTAACCCAGAATCCCCACCAAGTCCTCCAACTTGAAGCTGACGCACACTGATGGCAGTAAAATACAAAGATGTGTTCAACCCTGCCATCACATCTGCTGTTGACCGCCAGTGCACACGTATCTTGCACCATTAGTATCATTTTGATGATTTGATCTTGGAATCATTCTTTTAAAAGAGGAAGTCAGATTTAAATAATTCAACATTCTATATCAGAATATACAAATCTTTCAGAATAGGATAATACATTACCATATGGACCTATCGTTGAGGGTGTGTGACACTCTAAACCTCTGCATGTTACTACAGGGTAGACTAACTCCTATCCCAAAGACAAATCATATTTGTTTGACTTAAAAAAAATTCTGTTTGTCAGTATGGTGTGGAGTCATCCAACAGAATGAGTGAGTCTGTGGTTTAAACCCAAGCTGGCCAGTAGGGTAGCCTAGCGGTTAAAGCGTTCACACATCCTGTAAAAGACCCAGGGTTCGATTCCCTGCATGGCTATTTCTGGTGTCCCCTGCCATGATATGGAATGGATACTGGAATGCTGAAATATTGCTAAAAGCATTACAACTCACTCACTCACTCACTCACTCACTCACTCACTCACTCACTCACTCACTCACTCACTCACGACCGCTTCCGTGCTCTAGTGGTAGAGCGTCTGCCCGAAGATGGGAAGGTCCGGGGTTTGTTTCCCGACACGTCATACCAGATGTTGAAAGATGGTACTTGTTGTTACCCTGCCTGGGCCTAGCCATTAAGGGGCTCGGACTCAGTATGTTATGTCTGTGTGGGGTATTCATGTTAAACTGCAGCATGGAATCTCAGTTGGCTAGCACTATAAAATCGGCATTAGTCCGGACTAGAACAAGCAGCCACACACAAACACACATTTACATATATATATGAGTGGAATAATCTTGTTTGAGACAGGAGGTATATAACTGCTATACCGGTACATACACTACTATGCTACATCCAATTATATCTCAGTATCCATGCCAGAGGCTGAGTCGTATATATTCTTAATTCTACAATATGATGCAATTGTCTTAATGTGCAGGTTAGTCGGGCTTTGTGTAAAGTAGTAAAAATCAGATCAAGCATGGATGCTTATGATGTTCAGCATACTGTGTTATTTAGAGGTGATAAACTGTGTGACAAGAGTGTGCTAGTTACTACTGATGAATGCCCATCCTGTCCCATATTGACAGTTAATGCTCAACAAGTACCCTGAAACCTTTTGTACTTAAATCATTTCAAATATACATGTGTGTCGCTGTTTGAACATATAAAAATATCTTTGCTTTTGATGTCCAGATTTCTATCTGTCTCAATGTTGCAAGTTAGTGTGTGGACTCCCCAGCTTTCTAGACGGGTTCACAGGCAATATAACTTATCGCTTATCGTCTATTTCAGGTAGATTAGGTGTTTATTTTGCCAAAGGTGTTTTGATTTCAAAGCCATGATTGTCAAGTAGATGTAGTATTTTTAGCCTAGTCTTTGTTTCCTCAGGTGATAAATATCCTCATAACTCAAGCCTCTCTTTGAGATAACATTGGAAATAGGTGGGTAGGTTTATTTTGGTGAGCTGTTTCATGCTGTCTGAACACTATCACACACAGTGTTGGAAAGTTTCATTTCAGTGTTGTTAATAAAAGTTGAATCAATATGAGCATAATGTACAGATAATTCTGTAGAAAGCCATTAATCTGTCACAATGTGATATATATAAGTCACTGCTCGAACTCAAGTCTAACCTGCTTACTCCTTCCCCACCTCTCTTCCCCACCCTCCCTTGCCCCCTCCCTAAATCTTCCTCCTTGCATCCAACCATCCTTCCCTGCCTTTACAACCCTCCAATGCCCCTCTATCCATCTATTCATCCATCCATCTCCTTTCCTTCCCTCCCTCCCTCCCTTCCACACCCTCCCTAGCTCCCTCCCATATATTCATCCATCCATCTATCCCTCCTTCCCCAACCTCCCTAGCTCCCTCCTATCTATTCATCCATCCATCTATCCCTCCTTCCCCACCTCCCTAGCTCCTTCCCATCTATTCATCCATCCATCTATCCCTCCTTCCCACCTCCCTAGCTCTCCCCATCTATATATCCATCCATCTATCCCTCCTTCCCCACCCTCCCTAGCTCCCTCCCATCTATTCATCCATCCATCTATCCCTCCTTCCCCACCCTCCCTAGCTCCTTCCCATCTATTAATCCATCCATCTATCCCTCCTTCCCCACCCTCCCTAGCTCCTTCCCATCTATTCATCCATCCATCTATCCCTCCTTCCCCACCCTCCCTAGCTCCTTCCCATCTATATATCCATCCATCTATCCCTCCTTCCCCACCCTCCCTAGCTCCCTCCCATCTATTCATCCATCCATCTATCCCTCCTTCCCCACCCTCCCTCCCATCTATTCATCCATCCATCTATCCCTCCTTCCCCACCCTCCCTAGCTCGCTCCCATCTATTAATCCATCCATCTATCCCTCCTTCCCCACCCTCCCTAGCTCCCTCCCATCTATTCATCCATCCATCTATCCCTCCTTCCCCACCCTCCCTAGCTCGCTCCCATCTATTAATCCATCCATCTATCCCTCCTTCCCCACCCTCCCTAGCCCCCTCCCATCTATTAATCCATCCATCTATCCCTCCTTCCCCACCCTCCCTAGCCCCCTCCCATCTATTAATCCATCCATCTATCCCTCCTTCCCCACCCTCCCTAGCCCCCTCCCATCTATTAATCCATCCATCTATCCCTCCTTCCCCACCCTCCCTAGCCCCCTCCCATCTATTAATCCATCCATCTATCCCTCCTTCCCCACCCTCCCTAGCTCCCTCCCATCTATTCATCCATCTATCTATCCCTCCTTCCCCACCTTCCTAGCCCCCTCCCATCTATTCATCCATCCATCTATCCCTCCTTCCTCTCCCTCCCTAGCTCCCTCCCATCTATTCATCCATCCATCTATCCCTCCTTCCCCACCTTCCTAGCCCCCTCCCATCTATTCATCCATCCATCTATCCCTCCTTCCCCACCCTCCCTAGCTCGCTCCCATCTATTCATCCATCTATCTATCCCTCCTTCCTCTCCCTCCCTAGCTCCCTCCCATCTATTCATCCATCCATCTTTCCCTCCTTCCCCACCCTCCCTAGCTCGCTCCCATCTATTCATCCATCTATCTATCCCTCCTTCCCCACCCTCCCTAGCCCCCTCCCATCTATTAATCCATCCATCTATCCCTCCTTCCCCACCCTCCCTAGCCCCCTCCCATCTATTCATCCATCTATCTATCCCTCCTTCCTCTCCCTCCCTAGCTCCCTCCCATCTATTCATCCATCCATCTATCCCTCCTTCCCCACCCTCCCTAGCTCGCTCCCATCTATTCATCCATCTATCTATCCCTCCTTCCCCTCCCTCCCTAGCTCCTTCCCATCTATTAATCCATCCATCTATCCCTCCTTCCCCACCCTCCCTAGCTCCTTCCCATCTATTCATCCATCCATCTATCCCTCCTTCCCCACCCTCCCTAGCTCCTTCCCATCTATATATCCATCCATCTATCCCTCCTTCCCCACCCTCCCTAGCTCCCTCCCATCTATTCATCCATCCATCTATCCCTCCTTCCCCACCCTCCCTCCCATCTATTCATCCATCCATCTATCCCTCCTTCCCCACCCTCCCTAGCTCGCTCCCATCTATTAATCCATCCATCTATCCCTCCTTCCCCACCCTCCCTAGCTCCCTCCCATCTATTCATCCATCCATCTATCCCTCCTTCCCCACCCTCCCTAGCTCGCTCCCATCTATTAATCCATCCATCTATCCCTCCTTCCCCACCCTCCCTAGCCCCCTCCCATCTATTAATCCATCCATCTATCCCTCCTTCCCCACCCTCCCTAGCCCCCTCCCATCTATTAATCCATCCATCTATCCCTCCTTCCCCACCCTCCCTAGCCCCCTCCCATCTATTAATCCATCCATCTATCCCTCCTTCCCCACCCTCCCTAGCCCCCTCCCATCTATTAATCCATCCATCTATCCCTCCTTCCCCACCCTCCCTAGCTCCCTCCCATCTATTCATCCATCTATCTATCCCTCCTTCCCCACCTTCCTAGCCCCCTCCCATCTATTCATCCATCCATCTATCCCTCCTTCCTCTCCCTCCCTAGCTCCCTCCCATCTATTCATCCATCCATCTATCCCTCCTTCCCCACCTTCCTAGCCCCCTCCCATCTATTCATCCATCCATCTATCCCTCCTTCCCCACCCTCCCTAGCTCGCTCCCATCTATTCATCCATCTATCTATCCCTCCTTCCTCTCCCTCCCTAGCTCCCTCCCATCTATTCATCCATCCATCTATCCCTCCTTCCCCACCCTCCCTAGCTCGCTCCCATCTATTCATCCATCTATCTATCCCTCCTTCCCCACCCTCCCTAGCCCCCTCCCATCTATTAATCCATCCATCTATCCCTCCTTCCCCACCCTCCCTAGCCCCCTCCCATCTATTCATCCATCTATCTATCCCTCCTTCCTCTCCCTCCCTAGCTCCCTCCCATCTATTCATCCATCCATCTATCCCTCCTTCCCCACCCTCCCTAGCTCGCTCCCATCTATTCATCCATCTATCTATCCCTCCTTCCCCTCCCTCCCTAGCTCCCTCCCATCTATTCATCCATCCATCTATCCCTCCTTCCCCACCCTCCCTAGCTCGCTCCCATCTATTCATCCATCTATCTATCCCTCCTTCCCCACCCTCCCTAGCTCGCTCCCATCTATTCATCCATCCATCTATCCCTCCTTCCTCTCCCTCCCTAGCTCCCTCCCATCTATTCATCCATCCATCTATCCCTCCTTCCCCACCCTCCCTAGCTCGCTCCCATCTATTCATCCATCTATCTATCCCTCCTTCCCCTCCCTCCCTAGCTCCCTCCCATCTATTCATCCATCCATCTATCCCTCCTTCCTCTCCCTCCCTAGCTCCCTCCCATCTATTTGTCCATCCATCTATCCCTCCTTCCCCACCTTCCTAGCTCCCTCCCATCTATTCATCCATCCATCTATCCCTCCTAATTCATAAAGCACACAATGTAAATATTAACCTGTATTCCTGAATGCTTACATTAGCCAGAGAAACCAAAAACTTGGGACCTGTGTGCAACGCATGGTCTTTCATGTGGTTCCCAGGTCCACAATTATGAATAAAAAATAAAACTGCCAGACATTTTGAAGAGTGTCTGATTTCACAAGTGTCCTCATTCCGCAGGATCCAGGCTCAAAGATGTTGATACTAAACTGACATATATTGGCCGAAGAATGTCGTCCTTCCCAAACACTAGACGTTCATTACAACGCAGTAAACCCCAACTTGAGACTGAGATTAACATGACACACCTTAATCCATTGTATCTGTTCATCCATCTCATCCCTGGACCCACACAGATAACACAGGGAGCATCCCTCGGGAGGGACTGGCTCAAAACCTGTATGTGCTGTTTTGAAATACCCTGATTCCATTGTGATGACCTACAACAAGGTATGTACGTGCATCACAGCCTGATGTGTTTGTGTTCCGAGACTTGTCGTTGTATCTGTAATGATTATGAATTGGCGTTAGAGCATGTGAGTGTTTAAATGGTATTCAGAGTTTGGAGATGACCCCTTGAGATACGTGTCTTTCAATGATTTGGGTGGAAACCCTGAGGAATGTGGATGGCTTATGTTGATGACATATTGTTATTTGCTTTGACAGTCAAGTTAATTCATGTCTCAAGTATGAAGTGGTTATTACAAGGTGTGTAGAATGTGCTCATTCAGTTGTACAGTGTAATACGATCATAAGGCTGTGAAAGACAAATTGGTTGATCATAATGATATTGTTCCACTGTAAATTACACAATGTGATGCCTTGTGGGAATTCTGGGTTATAGTATGTCCCCAGCAAGCTATGCTGGTTGTAAGAGGCCACTTGATGGATCAGGTGGTCAGACTCTGTGACTTGCTTGATTTTGTACCCTGACAGTGTGGAACATTGCTCACAATATCAATCACTAGATTGTCGGGTCCAGACTTTTTTTAGGCTGACATGACATCATAAAATCCCTTAGTGCATGTTAGACAACAAACAAACAGACACAAACCTATCTTCGGTCAAGACGGGGTTGTCAGGCCCAGGAGCCAGGACATCCAGTTATGGACTTTGGAACACAATGTGTGACCTAGCCGATTTGGGTTAATATTATCAACCACTAGTTTGCCTGGGACAGACTCAGTTATTTACAGGCTACAATGATATACCTGGTTCCTGGGTTTGAATCCAAGGTATGATGTGAACATGATTCTCGGTTTGTCAGCACCGTGCCATGCTAGTGTGTTGAACCAAAGTGGTAAATGTCTGAGACTGGCATCAACAGTCTCCGTAGTCTAGGGAATAGAGCATCTTTTTAGAGAGTGGATGGTTGGTGGTTCGATCTCTGGCCCCATCATATCAAAAGACATTAATAAATGGTACCGTATTTTCTTGAGTATAGTGCGCACCCATGTATAATGCGCACCCCCCTCTAGCGGGTTCAATATTTTGGAAAAAAAAGAAATTTGAATATTATGAGCAGAAAAAAATAACACCGTACCCTTTCAGCGAAGTCCGGCAAACGAACGGGTGATGAGAAACTTTGTTAGTACAAATTTGAAATTTGAGATAAAAAATCACCAGACATGTTTATTTACCGTTTAAATAGTATTTATTGTTCTGCTAGGCATTGTTTTATATCCAGGGATTAAGATTACCTTGTTTATTTTTTGTAAACTAAGCCGGAAACAGCAATCAGCTGTACACACGTTTTCTTGGAATCGACCGGTGATTTGGTCAAGACACACCCAATGATATAACTTTAACGGATTTTTAATGCAAGGATCGGCAAAAATTGTATCTGAAACTATTTTTTCTATCAGGAATAATATATTCCAATATTTTCTTAATTATATGCAGCCTTTACTAAACATATTTAAAATAATAATAACCCTAAGCGAAGCAGCTGATCGCTATTCCCGGGTATTATTTTTTACATGGAACCAGTCTGACCAGTCACCGTCAAGGCTCACGCGCACGTGATCACGTGATCACGTGATCGCGAGAATTTCATGTTGACATAGAATCGTCAAACAAAAACAAATATGACTTTTAATGAGTCAAAGTATGTCATTTATGATATATGTATCCATTCTCTGTCAACTAAAGTTCGTTTCAAGGCGTCAATAGCGGTATTCTGACCGTGGTTGCTGTTAATAACGGTGAGTTGTGCGATCTTCCGATCGCTTCACACACGATTTCGCCGAAATTAATAAAAACAATATTAAAAGGAATTTTGAATAAAATTAATGAAATAAGTTACAAACATAAGTCCAGATATACAAAGAACACTTTTTATAGCCAGACAGTGTAATTACATGATTATTTTGCGTACTTCAGTATGGATTTGTTGACATGGTATTTCCGGTGTTTCGTGCTCACGGTAATGTCTTTCCATAGGGGAAAAAAACATCCAAACTCATAATTTGTGTATAATGCGCACCCCCTTCCACACAGCTGTGTTTTTTGGAAAAAAAGTGCGTACTATACTCAAGAAAATACGGTACTTGTTGTTTCCTGCCTGTTGTTACTGGTCGACTGGGAGTTTGTTTGTTTTCTTTTTGGGTTTTTTTTAAAAATGTTTTGTTTATTATGCCTCTCTCAGCAAATTTTCCCGCGATATGATGGTGGTCTGAAAATAATGAAGCCTGGACCAGACAATCCAGTGATTGGCATCATGAGCATCGATCCACGTGCATGTGCATGGGTTCGAATCCTGGTTTGCCCTAACTATGTTTCTAGGTTTGCCAGCACCATTCCCATGCTTGTGGGTTTCACCAAAGAGGTAAATGTTTGAGACCTGCATCAATCAAGGCTATCCTCCAACATTAAGCTTGCACATATAACTGGAATACTGTTCAATGCTGGAATACTCTTGAAGACCCATGAAGATCTGTGGTAAAATAGGTCTTTAGCAACCCATGGTTAACGTAAAAGGCGACTATGCTTGTCGTAAGAGGTGACTAACGGGATCAGGTGGTCAGTCTCGCTGACTTGGTTTATGCATGTCATCAATGCTCATGATGTCAATCACTGGATTGTCTGGTTTAGACTCGATTATTTACAGACCGCCATCATATAACTGGAATATTGCTGAGTGCGGCATTAAACAACTAACAAACAAAAACAAATCAAAGCAGCATTAAAAACAAGTTACTCACTCACTCACTCACTGATCACAATAAACCCTATTCCATGACAAACATGATTTCAATGCAGGGGTAGATATCCTCTCTCTTGCTTCAATACCGCCCATGAAACTGACCCCTGTGTAAGGCAATACCTCCAGGTGACAGCTGATTCTGTAGGGTAGGGACAGTGAAAAGAAGACACGTGATAAGACAGCGCGAGGGTCTTCCATCTGAATGTACATTATGCAATGTATGACACCATGCTATAAAGTATATTCAGCACCGTGACATGGTATCATATTATGTAGATAGAAGGAATGTGGGAGAGTCTATGGGTCAGAGAAGGGTAATTAAATTAATATATTCTACTGCGGATTTGGGAATATGAGCCGGGTAGGGGATATACATGAATTATGTACATGGTGTATACATTATCAACATTTGTGACCTTCGGCCTGTCTTGCGTAGCATTGCCTGGTACTGGAGAATCCATGACAGTGATTCATTTCATTCATGCAGTCGAGATCACGCATCCTGCACCATATGTAGATGGAACAGGGTTAATGCATGTCTGGAATTAATCGCGGGATACATCTGGAACTGTCACCAGTTTGATATGATCGGAAATATCCATTATTGTGAAACCTGCTCACCTACATGGTACCTTTCACAGTCAAATCACCCAGATCAACATCTTGCCCGATTAACGGGTAGAGAATAATGCCTCTTTGTGTGTGTACACTGGCCCAACAATAATAATTCTGAAAGTGTTTTTTTTTTTCACATTAACAGGGTTTTATGTAGACTGTCCCAACAACAATAATAATTCTGAAAGTGTTTTCCATATTAACAGGGTTTTATGTAGACTGGACCAACAACAATAATAATTCTGAAAGTGTTTTCCATATTAACAGGGTTTTATGTACATTGGCCCAACAATAATAATTCTGAAAGTGTTTTTTTCCCTTATTAACAGAGTTTTATGTAGACTGGCCCAACAATAATAATTATAAATAGGCACATTACTGTGTGCATGAGCAACTGTTACACACCATTAGAGCATGACGATGCAATGAGCCAGATAAAAAAACATTGTGACCACCCAATCTTCAGTTTTCCCCGAATGGAACCTAACTTGTTTTTAACACCACCTTGTCTCTGTGAAGATGCAGGTTAGAATTGGTCTCCAGCATCCCATGCTGGTTGTAACAGGCAACTAACGGGATCGAGTGGTCGTGCTCTCTGACTTGGCTGATGTATGTCACCGTATCCCAATCACGTATATCAATGCTCCTGGCATCAATCACTGGATTGTTCGGTCCAGACTCGATTATTTGCAGACCGACGTCATACAGCTGGAATATTGGAGTGCAGCGTTAAACATCAAACAAACACCATTTTGACGCCCTGCTTTGTGTTTAAACCCATGTCGATGTAACATTCGTGGTAACACCAGTGGCACCAGTAATATATAAGATCAATATTTTCCCTTTATAGATATTTCAGTATTTTCATATTCCAGTGGACAACTTTTCATAATTTCATTCTCACAATTCTTGAAAAACTTTCACATTTTTCATGCAACCCAACCCAACCCCATCCTCAAACTTTTCTATTATTTTTGTCATGATTATTATGTGATAAACAAGTCCCCACTACTGTGTGTTACGCAGTATGGCGAGGGAG